GGCCTTTAGCGTTGCGTACATGCCCGCCGCGCCAGTGGCCCAACATTCCGCGCAGGCCAGGCCATGTTCCTCCTGGTCGAACGCGCGGCACTCGCAGAGGTGGTGGCCCGTCCAGCCCAGGAGGCGCTCGAGCTCCTCCTCCCCTCTAGCGCCTCCACCAGGCACATTGTCTCCACCTCCTCCCGCGATGCGATCCTCCTCGCCTCCTCGCAGAAGCTGCACATCTCTTCTGGCATGGCTCCCAACTCAACCATCGTCTCGCTGGGAACCCGTCCGCGTCCTGCCCCTGGTCCTGCCACCGCGCCGTCGAGTGCGCTATCAACCTCGCCGTCGCCTTGGCCAGTTCGTGTGCCCCGTCCGCCGTCAATCACCTCTGTGGTTTGACCTTCCACGCGTGCATGGCGTGCATGTCGTGCATGGCGTGCATGTCCGCCTCCATCGTTACCTTCCCGCGTCCGCTTCTCCGTCTCAGTGACGCACTCCGCCTTGGACCTGTGCGCCTTCGCGGTGATGCGCACCTGTTGTTGGCCTCCGAGCTTCGGTCGGCGCCTGGAGCGCGCGTGTCGCCTGCCTCGTTGGGCCCGCGCTGTCGCTGAACACCTGGAACGGGGCCTGCGCACGCCCCGCCGGGAAGTGGAAGGCGTAGTCCTCGCCGTCCCTGGCCAGCTGCATCGGTGCCCAAGCCGTCAGCGCTGCGCCGCGCGCGCCTGCCCACCTTCGCCGCGCCGGCCAATCGCCCAGCGGGCCCTCGTCAGCGTTTCCCACGTAGGGTCCGCAGTCGAGCAGCCCACGAACGCCCTGCCCTGAAGGAGCCCAACGGCGGCCTCTTGATCCAGATCACCTCCGCCATATCGCCTCGCTCGCGCGGCCCCGACCAGGCTTGTGCGACTTCCCGGAACAATCACTTGGCGAACATCTCCCCCGCCGATCACCTCGGGCACGCAGAAGCCCCCCTCCTGTTCAGGCTGGCGTCGCACTCGAAAGGCCGGTGCCACTTCGCCCCCACTTGCCCCCCGCAGCGCCTGCGCTTGCACGTGGAGGCCAGTCCTTTGTCGCGCCGCCGCGCTTGCGTCCAGGTCGAGCTGCCAGCTGCGCACCTGAGCGTTCTCTCATGCTTTGTATTCCGCGCTTGTCTCCTCCTCGCGCGTCAGCTCCTCCAGGTGCCTCCAATGCGCTGGGCCCCCCCGCGCCGATCCTGGGCCTAGGCTCGGCTTGGCTCGGGCATCTGACATTCGCCTCGCCGCTCGCCCGGCCACTTCCCCAATGGGCCCTGGCAACGTGCAGTGCGCGCCGAGCACCTCGCCAATAGAAATCCTCCGCTCGCAGGCCGAAGGCGCCCCCGCCCCTGCTCGCGCCATCTTGAGGACGACGGCGTCGGCTGGGCTCGCCGCTCCCGCCCAAGGCTTGTCCGCCCCCCCAAGCTCCATCGCCTCCTCTCAGCAGCTCTCCACCACCGCCCTCGGCAGCGCCGGCGTTGACTCCGCCGCGCGCGTCGCCCAGGCCCACGCTCTTTCCCCGGCCGCCAAAGCTGCCGGGCCCCTCTTGCCCCTCGCTTCGAGGCGCTGAGCCTCAGGCGCGCCGCCGCTCCTCCCAACAGATTGCCCTCCGCCTTCGCGGCCTGGATGCGCGACCATCGCGGCTCGCGGTCCGCGGCGCCCGTCGATCCAGCTCCCCAGATCGCCGTCGCCGCGGGGCTGCTCCTCTGCAGGTGGCCCCCCGCGGTCGCGCCCGCCGCCCAATGCGCCCGGGCCCGCCCCGCCGACCTCGCCGCCACCCTCGCCCTTGCATCCCGCTCGCAAATGCATTTCCGCACGCCGTCGTCGGCATCGTAGCCGAGGGCCCTGGCCCCCGCTGCTCTCTCAAGCTGCACCCCAGATCCGGCCTAGGCCCCATTGTGGCGGCCTTCGCCGCGCCCTCGTCGCTGGCCATCTGCTCGGTCTTGAATAGTCAGGCCACCAATGGGCCCTCGCCTGCAGCGCGCCCACCGACATGGCCATCGCTTTCGGGAGCTGCTCCCTGTCCTGCTCCGCTCGCCCCGCCGCCTGGGCCATCGCGTCGCCCACTGCGTTCTGGTGACTGACCAGCGGGCGCTCCTTCCCCGGCAGAGTCAGCGCGCGGCGCGCCGCGACCTTGGCCACGCATTGCGCGCGGGCAGCCCGCCGCCAGCGTGCCCTTTACCTTCGGCCCCCGGCTTGCCGCGTCGCCCCGTTCGGCCCTTCTTGGCGCCCTGCAGCTGACGCGCAGCAGCCCGCGCAACTCCGCCACGAAGCCCCCCACCCCCCCGTTTACCCGGAGCGCCCATTGCGATGCGTGTTCGTCAAACTTGGCCAAATCCACGAGCCCCGCCCCGCGCGCAACGCCCGCTTTCCTCGCGCGGCAGGCCGCCGGTTTGGACGCCGCCTCCGCCAAGTCGCAGGGCGCCGTGCCCCAGGAATGCTCCTGATTGGTGGGCTCCGCCCCCCAGCTCGCCACCGCGGAATACCGGATGCGGCCCCGCATC